TATCGTCCTGGGGAAGCTCCTTGAGGCTCAGCACCTTGGCCACGGCGCGTCCCACCTGCGACAATGTTGACGTCGAGATCTTGACGTTCCCATCGCCATAGACTGTCAGGGAACGCGCGTCGAAGTCAAACCCAAAGCGCGCCTCTCCACCCGCCAAGCTGTAATCGTACCAAAACCCACAGCACACTGCGATCCACTGCATTCCCAGCCTCTCAATCTCGTCCCTGTGGGCTCTGCCGATAGGCCCCAGCAATATATCTTCGCCAAATTGGATGTCTTCAATGTCGCCGGCATATCCATTGGGCATCACGTAGGAAATGCCAGCTTTGGCAGCCGCCCGGACAAGCTTGCTGTGGGTGTCTCGGGGCGCAGTGGGGGCCATAGTGATGATCAGGAATTGCTGGCCCCTGAGAGCCGCGACAGTAGTGGCCTCATCATTGTAGTCGACCGAGGCGACTCGGACACCCTCGGGAACTTTGTTGTCGCTGTCTTTGCGGGAAATTGCTGTAACAGTGTGTCTTCCGGTGTCTAAAAGCGCCTTGGCAATGTGGGACCCAATGGTACCCCCAGCCTGGATGAGATGGTCAGTGGTACTGTATCTCTCGATGCGGATCTGGGTTCACTTACGCCGACAATCGCAACTCTTTCAATGGTGTTTGTGAAGCCGGCGGGCTGGTCTTTGGCGTACATGGCCACGGTGGTCAGGGGACTGGTTGATTGTCGGTGTTCTTGCTGAATGTGGTGCTCAATGAATTGCTCCTTGTGCTCAGGCTTGTGATAAGGACAAGAATAATCCCAGATGACATCTATTTATGTTGTTCTCTGTGTCCCAGCCCACTGACAAAACCCGCGCTGGGCCGCCGCCGCCGCACGCAAGGTTGCAAGAACGCTTCCTGATTGGCTGGTGCGGCGATAAGGAGGCCAACTCCGCAATAGCCGCAAATTAAGCCGCTGACACAAGATACCTTTGCTTCTTCAAGAACTCCCGGTCGCTGTGACATAGACCATGGGAAAGTACAGGAAAGTAAGATTAAGATTATTATTTGTCCGTGTTCAGATGTGAACTGGCTATATGTGGGTGTGTAGTATATCGTATCGTCATACATAAAAAGCCGATGCCGGAGCTTAACTCCGTCCGACTTGACCACCCATCCGGCTCTAGAATTTTGGGTGACTCTGGTGGATCCGTATGCACGCTCATCAGCGTCTTCATAGGGGGAGGTCAGGACCGAGCATAGACAAATATGGCTCAATGAAGAATTGATCCCAGTCAATTTCCCAACTCATGTCTGGCATCGCGGAATTGGCCTCGGATGTCGGCGGTGTCTGACCAAACCCATAACCTGCCTCGACAGCTTCCAGCTGAGCCAGTTCCTTTCGCTTTTTGCTCATGGTCAGGCCGAGGAGGTGCCGCGCCATCGACAACGCCTCCCGCGTCAGTCCAGTATCGGCAGCCTTGACAAGGTGCTCCAAGCCCTTGAATGCACCGTCAATGTGGGGGAAAGCTACCGGGGTGTCAATGGCCAACAGAATGCAGCAGTATTGGAAGACGCTACCGATCGCGTTCCAAAACAGATGACCCTGGTCAGCTTGCTTCTTGGCTGCATCAACTGCGACGTTGCCGCTGTTAATGACGAGTTTGATGATCTCGTCCGGTATCTGGGTCTTGAGCTGGTAGAGTCGTCGATAAAAGCAAAATGCAAGATCGGCCTTCGTCACCACCAGGAACGGATGGCTCACTTTGAACTCGTCCAGGGCCTTGAGACGATAATATAGGTCCTGCATGGGACTGGCAGGCTGTGCGTCGTACTTCAACGCTGCGTTGGGCGAAGGGACAATGTGGGCGAGTTGTACGAACTGATCAGCCACAGACCCAGGTACGGGAACGATAGGATGGCAAGTCACAGTCCGGTATCCGACCGACGAGAGATCGTACTCATAAGACAGGATGTTATGCCCGGCCCACGAGACCCAGAAGATTCTGCGCAGACGGTCGGCACTATGGCCGAGGACGGCGGCGCCCGCCATGGAGGCCATTTTCGTGATGGTGACTTCCTCGTGCAGGCCGATGGCCTCGCAGAGATGCATTTGCGTGCACGAAGCAATCCAAGCATTGCTGGGCCGGGTGGTAGCTCGCAGATAAAAGACTCGCATGCCCCACGCAACGATGTGATCAATGCCATGCAAACGCATGGAAGAGGGATCATCGAGAATGGCCTTGGCGTACTGCACCAGGTCCGACTCCCGCGGGTGTTTTCTTGGGGATAGGAAGGATCCGAGGGCCGCCACGCCGGCGGCCACAGCACCAAAGGCGACTGCATTGCTGCCAGAACCCCGGTAATAGTTCCAGCATCGCTGAGTGTAGATGGAAGGGTCAATCACGTCACCGATGGGAGCCAGTACGGAGAAGTACGTCCCCGAGAAGAAGCCAAGGTCTTCCTCCGAGATGAGGTCGCCCAGAAAGCAGTGAGCGCTGGATGCTTCTTCGGGGCGGACGCCAAAGTTGTAAGCAAATGACCGCATCTTAGGAGGGCTCGCGGAGCCCAGAGCCACACCCAGAATATGTGGGAATGCCATGGCCGCTGATGCCCCAGAGTATCGAAACTTTTGCTCGTCAAAGATGCCGGAAGACGGCCCCCCGGCCACGGCGGGGAGGGGACTCTTGGCCGGCGAGTCGACTGGCTCGAACTGACATCGGTTGAGACTTTCATCGTCGCGCTCCAGGTTTGTGCGCTTGGCTGGAGGCGGAGGATGGCCGTCTGTGTAGGTGCAATTGTAGCCGTGGGTAGTGCACATCCCACAAGGATACACGGTGTCGCATTTTCGCTTGCGCTGATGGCACGGGATGCATGCCTTCCTCGTCCGCCTGCGCTTGGTGATTGTCGTTGACATGACCTACTCAGGCTGCTGCAAGTGCGGACCTCCACACATTGAACGAAAGATCCATCTATCAACAGGTGGGAGGATTTCGATTCAAGGTCGGAGGCGGGAGAGATGTTTTAACTCCATGGGGCTAGCGTGAATCGACTTGAGTATGTTATTGTATTGTACCGTAGGTTACCCCTAGTACTTTATGTACACATAGTGTACACATCAGTTCAGGTTATCAACTAGGTACGACTACCAGTGTCCCCTATCTTATAAACCTCGACAACGACCTTCGATCGTTTGCCTCGGGACCCCCGACTGATCGCTGAAAATTTGAGGAACGTTCGATCCCCGAAACATGTTCGACCGCTCGGCCCGCTTGTTTGCCAGGTGGGCCCTGCCCCCATCACGTCACAGTCTGCTATCGCTTCCTTCTAGCCTTCGCACCCCCGGTGAGTTTGACAGGATTCAAGACCGCAAGGTTGCGGAGTAGTGGCTGCCGAAGGGGGATCATCGATGGAAGGGGGAACCATTTTCAGAAGACGAACACAGCCCGATCACCGCATTCGCGCGAAGACTGCGTCAGAACAAGCTCAAGTGACCGGTCAGAGCAGACCATCCCGAGTACCAACATGAGGATCTCCAGGCCGCGGTGAAGCCAGCCATCGGATTCTGGCTGTTCCCCCCCAAAGGCTTGGGCGCTGTGTCTGCGGCAGGCACTCCCGGTGTCGTTGTTACAGATTTGTTCCAAAAGGATATTTGTAGCAATCAGAGCCCGAGCCAATTCTGGACATGAAAAGTCACAGGCTGGAACTGGCGTTGCTTGGCCTCCAGTAGGTCGGTAATCCTCGCAATTGTTCCCCTCGCTGGTGGCTACATCGTAGAGAGCGTCATGGTGGTGTCACGCTGGTGACGCATTCCGGTCTGCAGGCGGACAAACGCTCCGAGTATTGTTGAACGAGGGGTGAGAATCATACATGTCATTGATTGTACTCTCAACCAGGGAACAGAATGGAGAACCTGGACATCGGGACTGAATAATAAGTGCGTATGTGTTAGATGTAATCGGCATCCAGAAGAGACACAGTTCATGAAATGCATACACTCCTATTGCTGTTCGTCTGCGACCCAACAAAAAACACTCCATCCCGGAAAGCAGCTCTAATCATTATCATAGGGAGTTGACAGAGACTGAAACTAAATAGAGGGTCAGCAGCATGCGACGGAGTCCGAAATGCGCATCGGTAACTTGTTGGTCCATGCAGGGCAGCAGCCCCGTCAATTGCTGTATAATGTAGCCTGCCCTAACCAATCTCATTGAGTAGTAGTTCCCTAGAGACAGACATATCTAGGCCCTCCCGCGGGCCGTTTCGCGGATCCACCTTGTTTCTCCATCTTAGGTAGTTCTAGCCATACCTGTGGTGCTTCTAGAGCTAAGGGAGAGGTCGAGGGAAGGGAAGACGTGACAGGCCCTGCGGAGAAGAATGCCAGCTTGGCAGCTTGCCTCATGCCTAGGATGCATGACAAAACCGGATTTTTCCAACTGTAGACTAGCTCTCTCAGCTTCGCCATACTGTCATCGACAGTCAAGGTCCAGCCAGACTTCCAATCCCTGGTCGCCTGGTCGGAATGATTGACTTCCTTCCAGTCTCCCTCGCGACAAGATATGACATTCTGTGGTATATGTCGTATGTTCCAGAGCACGAAGGAATTTTCTAAGCACTTCCGCAAGTGCACATCTCGCATGATTAGCTTACCTGACACCGGAATCTTTGGCGGTTAAACTACTTAGGCCGGTGAGTGGGACCGAGCTAGAACAGATGGAAAGGAGTGATAGATGGTGTTGAGGCGGCAAGTCACTAGGTTTGCGGGAGAGGGGAGGGTTGATTCGGCTCCATACAATGGCGTCATTCACAGGAAGTCGGCAGGCGATTCCTCTTCTCGCAAGTCCATTCACTAGTTCCGATATCATAGATCACTGCGTAGCTTCCCTCACCGTTCGAGAGTTTAAAAGCAGGCTACATGTACCCTTCAAGCTCCCTCTCTGGCATGTTTTCTTCTGCAGCGTTCCAACCACTGCAACTTGCTTGATCTACCCCCAAAGCACCAGCGGTTCTATCACCTTTTCCACAATGCCACGATCTCAGTTCTCTCCTTGTATTTATGTCCTGCTTATGATGGCCTTGGTATTGGCTGTCTTGGGCATAGTACTCCCCCCAAACTTTCCGATGCCCGATAGCGTTGCCGCGGCGCCACCTTGTGGGGAGGTGGTTATCCTGGCAGGAGAGGCAGCTGGCCCAGGAAAAAAAGGTGCATTGGGGCTGGATGTCCTTTCTTATGCAGCCCACTAGTCAACGGTCCAGGAAACAATAAGAAGTCCGATGGCAAGGAACCCGGTGACAAGGAATCTGACGAGGCGCTGCCCGAGGACCAGCAGGCTGAGAAGAGTCAATCGGCTGACGAGGACTCAAGTGACAAGGACTCAAGTGACAAGGACACCGGTGACAAGGAAGTGAGCGAGAAGGATTCAAGTAGCAAGGAGTCGAGTGGCAAGCAATCTCAAGGCAAACAGTCGGGAGGCAAAAATTCGAAGGGCAAGCAGTCCGATGCTAATGAAGATGGCGAGCAATCGATTAGCAAGCGATTCAACGCCAGGTTTGTCAGAAATGAGAAGCAACGGATTGCTCGGCAAGATGATCGCAGCGCCGCCAACAATGAACAATCCGACGACAGCTCCAATGGCGACCGAGTGACCGCCGAGCCTGTCGACGACAGCGAGGAACCAGACGGCAGGCAATCTAATCGTAAGCAGACCAATCGCAAGGGCCCCAATAGCAAGGGTTCCAACAGCAAAAACGGCGATGGCAAAGCTTCCAATAGCGAAAATTCCAAGGACAACGATTTCAATACCAAGTCCAGTGGCAAGCAGTCGAACCGCAAACATGCCAGCAACAATAATTCTGACGATGTGGGTATCAATGAGGAGGGTTCAGATAACACGTCCGATAGCGTGCAGTCGGATGGCAAGCAATCAAGCGACGAGAATTCCAATGAGGACGACTCTGATAACAAATCCAATGGCAAGAAGCCCAGTGGCAATCACTTTAACGACGAGGATACAAACGATGGAATTTCCAATGACGAAGACTCTGAAAGCCAGCCCAATGGCGAGCAATCCGGTCGCAAGCAGTCAAACCGCAAACAATCCGGTCGCAAGCATGGCAATAGCAAGCAACCCAATAACGAGCAATCTGATGTCAAGCTCACGGGAGACGAGACTCATTCAGATGAGGAGACTTCGAGCGGGAACAATGAGGATGGGGAGGTTTCAGGCGACGCCTCTGAGTCGTCCTCGCCCTGAATTGAACGATGAGACCGCCCTCAGGATGAACGTTTGACTCGGCGTGGGGACAAAGGGATAACTATGCGAGAGCGAACGCTGGCATAAAAGTGGCTTATGTTCTTAATGGTAATTGATTGAGGAACTGACTCGACAATATTGCGGGAAGGAAACAGTAGGAAAAGTTTTTAGTTAGGGCACAATGCTAGATGATGGTTTTAACAAAGCCGGATGCCCGTAAAAGTACTTGCTTCTAACTAACCAGTGATATAATTGCGCTTCAATTGTGTTAATGAAGCCATCGTACCATATAGCGTATATTGTGATTATATACTCCCTCCAGGCTGAAGAATATCACTTACATCACGACACAGTTTGCGTTCAAGGCGGAGCCCCGGGAGATGTGGGAATCAGGAATTTCAGACGGCCGCAGCCGGACCTTGGACACGGGCACCGTCTCGTTTAACCACATTAGGTATTTACCATGGTCACAAAGCAGCCACAGTTTCAAGAAAGATGTTTTTTTCTTCTTGCCAAGGATTTCGAACTCGAAGGCATACATTCCGGTCACAAGCTTTTCAGCCTCGTCCCCGTCGCCAGCTTCGCGGAAACAGCGCGCCACGACACGGGCCTCGGCCCCGCGTGAGACGACCCCATGAAAAGGCGGAGCGTCGGGATAGACCGCTCGCAGGAGCTGGAAGATTGCCTGCAACCGTTCCTGTGATGCCTCAAAGTTCTTGTCCCTCGCCCCGTGCACCTGGATGTATTGACGCCCGGGGGCGTAATCAACGATGCCGAACCGGTGATTGGGCATTGCTGCTAGAACAATCCGAGATGACTTTACTACTTACGGTTTGCATTTCGTGACTATACACTGTGGGTATATCGAAGTCACTCATAAAGTCACTCATAGGGTTTGACTTTTCTTATATACTGCTTATATGACCCCTTGTCATCTCCATGTTGCAGGGCTGCTGACGAGAAAACCTTTCAGCTTCGCGGCAGCAGGGGACATTTTTTTGGAGAGACAATGCGGGGGCTCCATGGTCGCCGAATGCACGAATGCACAAACAATGATATTTGTTCCTTTGTTCCTCCAAAGACAAAGATGGGTTCTCACAAGACTCGCCGGAATTCTAATTCTCGTGGACAAAAAGGCCATGGACATGTCACCTGACTACTATCTATTACACGGAGCCTATTCCCAAACGGGAAGTTGATTCCGCTGCCAGGTGCCAGTACAGTGCAGTGCCCAGTGCCGTGAGCCCGAGCTGGAGGAACCCTGAGGGACTACTAGTAGGTACTACCTTAGTAACGTGGGCCTACTATCGTGGGATGAACTGCCCTGGGACTATACGCAACGACCACAAGGCCAGATTTACTCAAAAAAAGAAGCATGAAGCTATCCCGGGCCCTGGCCCTCCCCTCTCTTTCCCGTGGGGCTTTGTAAACTCATCCTCGACCTTATATATTGCCATCGAATATGCCCGACATTGCCGTGCCTGGAGCCTCTGATCACGCAATGGTGGGTGTGTTTGGGGTCATCCACACCGCGAGCCCTTTTGTGCTCGACGTGTCTACAACGAAAACGACCTGCTTCAGCCCGCTATCCGACGAGGAACGGTGAACATCGCCCACGCAATTCATACAACCCCAGTGTACGGATATTGGTGGTGACCTCCTCCTTTGCCTCGGTCCTCGACTTAGACTAAGGGTTCCGACCAGCGTACCGCTACACCGAAGCAGACTGGAATCCATGCAGCTATGAGATCGCCAAGGAAACCTTCAACTCAAGCATAGCATACTGTGCATCCAATGCTTAGCATTTGCGGAAAGATGTCTGTGGGAGTGGGCGACCGAGAACCAGCCAACTTCACCGTGGCCACCATCTGCCCCCCGTAGATCTTTGGCCCTACGATCGGCGGTGCGTCCAAGCTGAACGAGTCCACTGAAGTCATCATGAACCTTGTCAACAGCTCTCAGGAGGTGGTACCTGTGGCAGAGGTTTATCAATTAATGATTGATGCATAGTTAGCAATCTACTCCGTAGTTAGTTTTTACCTAATCTATTTCTACTACTCTCTTGAACAGCCCTAATCCCAGTTGAGCAGGAGACTACCGGGCAATTACGATGAAAGACTAACCATGGGAGATTGGTGCCCGGCTCGGGTCTTGGTCGTGGTGGCTGAGTAATGCCACTAGGTGGTAGTTAAGTCAATGGAAGCCCTGAGGGTGATGCTTATGCTGCCCAGGAACGTCTTCGTTCAAGGAATAGTACATCTCACCCCCTTTGCAATTCGCAAAATGGAACCTGCTGCGAAGTTCACTTTCATCAACGATCCACAGCTCCGTCCGCTCCTGGTTTCCGCGACGAACCGTCCAAGATCATCGGATCGAGGTGCTCACCCCCTTGATGACAACAAGGCAAACGCCCGCAAATAAGGCTTCTGGTTGGAAAAAAGTAGACTTGTCTGGACAATCACAGAAGGGTACTCCTTTCCTTGGACGAAGCAGTGAAAGGGTTCCCAGGCCACCCCGCCCCACCAAGGCCTTGTCCTGGGCGGGAATCGAACTTCTTCCCTAGCCATTTCTACTACAAATTACCTCCAGTTATTGGCAGAGCTAGAATCTCTGGCCCAACCTTGTCGAATGACTGGCAATTTCGGACAATCGGTGTGTTTCAGGGGACTAAGCGGATTCATGGGGGGTCTGTTACTTTTAACTATCTATACTTTGTATATATATAACAACTAATACTGTACTTAATTGGTGTTATCATAGGAACTATTTATCTATTAGTAGCGGCGCAATGAGAGAGAGTATTTTAAAAAAGACTTGAAGTATGTCTATATTTAGTTTTGGATTAAATAATCATTTGTAAGGGCTCAACCAGCCCTTCCAACCTTCGCGCTTATCCGCGAAGGGAGATTGATATAGCCGGCCTCAGGCATCAGTCAAGTGACGGCTAAGCGGGCGGGCCGCGACCATACATCCTAAGAGGAGCGGCTGCCTCGCGAATGAGGCAGATTAGCAACAACACCTTAAGGCAATATATTGGTATCTTGGGCCTTGCGAGAGACCCTTCGTTCATCACGCTATTTCACCATTCTAGCCCTTGTATCATTAAAATGCGGCTTAGTGTTTAAGAAGAACCAGAAAATCAACGGACACTCCGGCAGTACTAAAGTTAAATATATGATTTTAAGTGTACATAGTTTATAGTTTAAATTAATTATATAACCAGTACTACTATGCTCAGACGAGCTTTTAAAATAATTATTATTTTTTTTAGTATCTATTTTTGAAGTAATCAGGGATTGCTTAGAAATTGCTTAGAACATATACTTCTATGCCCCCCACTTCGAGCCGATTATTAAGCAAAAAGCGGCGCCATGTTGGATCTGAAACAAAAGAAAGTCACTCGATTTCCGCAGCAATCCAGTTCAGTAGGAATATACCCGTGCCCACGCAAAAATTAACTTGCAATAGTCTGTCGACGAATTTGACCACCAAACTAAAATTAAAACCAATCTTCAGGGCTGTCTGGAGTTCTCCGCGTCCCGTTCTTCTAGTGGACGTAAGTGAAGTGAGGGTTGGTAAACTCATCCTCAACTTATATATCACTTCATGCTTGGCGTTATAGCTACACTGCATTTGTGTTTGAGTTACGATGCACCAAGTGCTGAGGATGAAGAGGAAAAGCAAGCCTATTCAATCATCTTTTATCGTATTCATATGGATTCGGACCCTCCACATGTGAAGTAGATGAACGATTTACACATAAAGCGAAACACCAAACCTGGCCAAGAATACCGACAATACCTTCAAGGGTGACAAACTGGCCAACAACAGGAAAAGACGCGAGAAGAGAAGAGGACAATCCACTGCAAAAGAAGAAATCAAAAGAGAACAGGGCTTCTGCTTTCCGATAACGAAGCCATGTTTTCCTTGCTGTCACAAGAATATGCACAGGAGGGATCTGGTTTCGAGTTGGCGCCCACCGTCGGCTGTGGTCCTCTGACCTCCGATTGATTCTACCCAACGGTGAAATTCAGGTAGCCTTGCCCAGAAAAGCCTTCCAGAGTAACCATCTGAAAGATTGGGGTGCCGGGGCTGAGACCCAAATCCTTCCAGCCCTGGAAATGGGTGCTCACATCGACGGTGCCGGTGGAGCGGTGGGAGCGACGCACCGACCAATACTGATCAAAACTGGTCACACCGTAGATCTCCTGGACATTTCGGTAGGGTAGGTTGTAGACATCGTATACACCGCCATCACTATTCACCTGGCCTAGGATATCCCCATTGCCTGGGGTGCCAGTGCCATGCGACTCCACAATATACCACTCGGTGACGGGATCCAGGGTCCAGCCATAGATGGCCAAAGTCCAGTCCCCCTCGGCAGTAAAATAACCGTCCCAGGTCAAAGTGCTGAGCGATGAGCCAGATACTTGTCAGCCTCCTTCGGCTCTGCCAACTGAGAAAGGTAGATGAAAGGGGGCAAAAGTGGCACTTACCGTGTGCTGCCGCCTTTATAGCCCTTTCCCCCAAGGAATTCCACCGTAGCATCCCACCCAAGTTCAAATTGACCGATCGTGGGGTATTCGGTATATCCGACCTCGGCTCCATTAGCATTGTACAATGAGTAGTAAAATCCCGCGCTGTCGACACCGTCTTGGCTACTACTCAATACAGTGCTCCGTTTGGTAACGTCCGATATGGTACCGTCCTCGGTCCGATTACCGATTACATCTCTAAGCCATTGAACACGTTCGGGTGAAAGCGCGCCTTTGGGAATTGGGGGAATGGCGGAACCTGTCACAAGCATCCACGAAAGAGCTAACAGGGTGAGTACAGCCAGGCGTGCTTGGCGAAGGAAAGACACCATAATAACAACAAGTAAGAAGAGATTCAAGTACCAGAATATGATTGTAACTGGAATGACCGACAGTGGGAGGACAAAAACAGTTTCGTGCTATCCACTTAGCTTTATATCCTTTGCCTGCTGTGTAAAAAAGGGGGGGGATATGCCGAGAATCTTCCATCTGTATGTTCCTCAGTTTAATTTTTCCGTTAACTCCGGTTGTAGCACTGTGAAACAACCTTCCTCACCAGATCCAGAGAAGATGAGGACTTGAATCTTCTGGGTGGTGGGGGCATAATTTGTTTGCATCGTTGCGATAACCTACGCGAACTCGGGCCGCCGGCTTGTTAGGGGAACTAATGATCGGCCCACGCCGATGGAGATGCCCGGCAATAACCGGTCGATGATGCCCGTACTAGATGTTCTAGGCCGCACGCGATACCGCACAAATGATGCTGCCTATTGACCCAGCCAATTTCTCTCAGTGGCGAGGCCTGAATATAGTAGCTAAGGCTGTCTTTCGTGCCGTGCCTAAGTATCTTTGTGGAAAGATATGTTAGTCTGGTTTCATGTTGCGTGCTTCTTTTACCGAAAACCACAGGACCCTGGACGGAGGGGATGGTTCTCTGACCATCTACTATAGATGAATGCCCCCCCGTCATTGGCCAGGAGCAAGTTTGGCAGACACAAATCCACCCACCGCTAGATGCTCAGGTTCCACTTAGGCGAACGATTAGCGAATGTGGGCGATCGGTGTGTTTCAGAGTGTTGGATTCAGAGGTCCAGTGAGGTGAGGTTGCCCCCCTACCTACATGGCATGCTTACCGGCTCCACATCCCGAAGTTCTTTCCCGAGCTGCCTCGCGGTGTTGGGGAACTTTAGGTGACAGTTGGTGTTGATCTCTATAGAAAGCACGTACAACATACTTAGCAACAAGATTTCTCATGGGCTTCTCTCTTGTAAGACTTGATCGTGACTCCGCTGCTAACCGAGAGCCTAGTCCGGCGGCTTACTATACGAGCAATGGCAGTTTTCGAGAGCAAGAGCAGCACCATGGGCGGTAGCTCTGGGGCCTCCGCGCTTGGTGGTGCAGGCTCTGGGCTCTGGCGGTACAACTTCCCCTGGCGGGGCGGCTCGCTCTGGCCGTTTGGCTCTCCTCATTATTGCTTTAGTGTAGGTCGCAGCCCAGCCGAGAATTCGTCTCAGATTGATGGATGCTACATATTAGTATCGCTCAAATTTGTCTGTGCGCTCTTCGAGGAAGCTAACGGTAGTTCTGTTCGTTTGAATGATCGTCCAAAGGCCCGGGTTGTTGGTTACTAGGAGTGCAAGATAAGCCCATAGGAAGGCGAGCGGATAGTAGAGAATATTGACATTCCTAGACCTATCTTGTCTCGCAGCGAGGGAGACACACTTTGGCTGGGTTAAGATAGCATAAGTAGCAGAGACCTGGTCAGTGAGTGTTCCGGGCAGATTCTTCCCATAGCAAGGCTGCTCTGGTTATTTGGCCCCGGTGTGTCCCGAATTGTTTCAGTATAATACGTAGTAATAAGTACAGTACCTCAAATACGCGAATTCCGTTATCTCAAGCTTTAAGTGATAGGAGGCAGACATTAGAGGCCTAGGCTGGGCCTATCCATCACACCTGTCCTTTAGTCATATAACAGTGTATTTTAAGCTAGGAATCAAGGGTTTTGATTCAACTCTAGCCAAACACGTAAACGTGGTAAGCTAGATTGACGGCGTGACCTTTTACAATGGCAGCTGTCACAATGGCTCCCTAGTTCATATAATGGTCTAGGAGAACTGGCTGAAAGAAGCAGTCTTGGGGGTAACGGAATGGCTACACATCCGAATTCGCGGACATTCGGAAAAGGTTTCCGCACTGTCAGCTTACAGGACAACGGGTGTTAAGGCGCGACCAAGTACCGAGCCAAGACTTGGGTGGATATCCTATTGTGACATTCGCCAGCACTGCCCCAATTCTGAGCAAGGTAGAAGTGGGCTCGGCGTGTACTTCCCTTTGTCGGACAAATCAGTCGGGCCTGGCTGACCGACGGCGTTGTTTGTCATTTACCTCTAACGTAATCCCTGAACTGCCCACATATCCGGCATTACCTAAACCAGGAAATATAGCTGCTAGGTACCAGATAGATGGCGAAAGGAAGAGGCAAGATAGCTGATGACGGACTAAGAATGAATCTCTGGATAAGGGTTGAAGGCATCTAACGGCTGGCACCTCGCAGAAATCGGGATCAGCCCAAGACACTTGCCCTACAGCGGGTCCCAGAGCACACCACGCCGTCCAGATCGTATTGGATTGTCACTGTCCATCACCAGAAGGGTTTCAGGTATATGAAATTGATCGAAAAAAGTAAAACAGATTGTCTCGGACACGCCGGCTACAGTGCGCGCATGGAAATTGAAGGTCTGCAGCACGAGGAGCTCAAGCGAAGCTCTGCCGGGCTTGGAATATGCATATAAACCCCATTTAGCCACCTCTTTCGGGACCGGTTTACTAAACAACATACCACCATCTTTACTTTCTTTTGCTGGATTCTATCTGACCTGGAGTCGGACTCGCATCGCGTGTTTTACATTCATTCATTCTCTCTTTTCATATAGTTTGCTCTCTATCCTCAACTCAGGACAATGAAGTATATTCCTCTCGTTATTGCAGTTGCTGCCGGCCTGGCACGTCCGGCTACTGCCCACTACATCTTCAGCAAGCTCGTGCTGAACGGAGAGGCATCTGCGGACTGGCAATACATCCGCGAGACTACTCGCAGCATAGTCTATGAGCCGACCAAGTACACCTCTACCTTCGATAACCTAACACCCAGCGATAGCGACTTCCGCTGTAATCTCGGTTCCTTCAGCAATGCTGCGAAGACCGAGGTCGCTGAGGTTGCGGCAGGCGATACCATCGCAATGAAGCTATTCTACGACACCAGTATTGCGCATCCTGGCCCGGGACAAGTTTGTACGAGCGATGCCTTCTCCTATCTCATTGTTAACCCTGTCCTAGTCAGTCATTTTCTAATAACCCTGGTCCTTCCAAACTGCAGATATGTCCAAGGCACCGACCGGCAATGTTCAGGAATACCAAGGAGACGGGGATTGGTTCAAAATCTGGGAAAAGACCCTTTGCAACACGGATGGTGATCTGACTACAGAGGCCTGGTGCACCTGGGGCATGTCACAGTTTGAATTTCAAATCCCAGCTGCGACCCCGGCAGGAGAGTACCTAGTGCGCGCCGAGCATATAGGCCTGCATGGCGCTCAAGCGAACGAGGCCGAATTCTTCTACAGGTAAGGCGACTATTGATTGCTGTGCCGGCCCCCCTGAATAAGTCACCTTCATGGCGCTTAATGCTGATACCACGAATCCAGCTGTGCGCAGATCAAGGTTACAGGCTCGGGAACTGGATCTCCCAGTCTCACGTATCAAATTCCTGGTCTCTATAACGACACTATGACCCTGTTCAATGGCCTCAATCTTTGGACTGATTCAGCCGAGAAGGTGCAGCTGGATTTCCTGGAGACGCCAATTGGGGACGACGTGTGGAGCGGAGCAGGCTCGGGGAGCCCATCTGCTGCCACCTCTTCGACCAGCGGTGCAACTCTTGCAGCTCAGGGTACAACTACCTCTGCCGCGCATGCTCAGGCCCAGACCACCATTACCACCAGCACCAGCACCATCACGTCTCTCGAATCAGCCAGCTCAACCGATCTCGTTGCGCAGTATGGTCAGTGCGGAGGCCTTAACTGGTCCGGTCCAACCGAGTGTGAGACACCTTATACCTGTGTGCAGCAGAACCCTTACTACCATCAATGCGTGAATTCGTGCTGATGGAACGGAGACTTTGTGGGCCATGAGGGTGGGTAGAATGATTATTCTCACCGGAGCAGTTTGTCTTGCGCAGGAAAGTTCATGCCTATACGTTAGTCAATATTGTTGATGTACTTAGTCTTGACTTCTTGATGTACGACGGCTGTCGTTAACGCCGTCTTCATTGGTTGGAATGTGCCCTAATCCTTGTTGTGACTGAAATTAGGAGGATCGCAAATGGGATCATAGACTGGAACTTACATTGCACAACTCCTTGGGATTTCATGAACACCACAGCCAGCATAGTAGTAGGAGTGTCAGGATTTAAAGTCCACGGTCCCCAGCATCGCTTGCTGTTACGTGGCAAGCATCTCGAGCGAGGTCGCCACAAGGGCCAGGTCGGTACAGACTACAAGTAGACAACATCTTACTCGAATCAGCCATTGGTGATGTACTCCATATGAGCCAGACAATCGATCGACGGACTGACAGTGGGTAGAGCTCACAAGCCACTTTTCAACAGATCCCATTGGTCGGTGATGAGATGTTGGATGATCTCACCATCTTTTTGTCTGGAATTTGGGAAATCTAAGACAAAAAGATGGTGAGTCTTCGCCGAATGATAGATTTAGCTGACTTCAGCTTCAATAGTAAGGACCATATGAAATATTCAACCAGATTGTAGGGTATGTACCTGTGCATTCCAACGCTCAACTTGCCATGAATGCAGGGGCAGATAGTTCCCACCTTTGTTAGACTCAAGCTCTTTGTCCGATATCAAAGCAACACATTAGACTGCCACTCACGATTTCCACGGAGCTTTGATAGGTAATTTTGAACCATCGAAATATCAGGACCATTGACTCAGGCATACCGCACTACATTCAATGTGAAGGTTCTGTCTTGTCTGATTGGTTCATTGGGGCTTCCGAGTGTAGCCGAGCATCATCAGGAATTCGACAAACAAAGAAACGTCGAAACCCGTTGCAATCGCCTGACAAGAGGCTGGGAATATCCTCAAGGCACCTCATACATATTACATGGCTGGACATCCCCGTAAAAATCGAAATATTGGTCATAAAGCTTCTGAGCAATGGCAAAATCATGATCGCCTATTTTGTTACTTGGACCATCCTCCTTACTCACTCCGCGTCCGCTCTACCGGGGCTGCAAGGGGTGACAACACAAGACGCATGCAGTCCTCTCAGTAATATAGTTGATCAGCTCAAGACCTACAGCACTGCTACTGGGTTCTGCCAGTCGGTCTTAGCTACAACGTTTACTGTCTCTGCCTCCAGGTAAGCCATCTTTCATTTAATGCGATTGTCTTTGCAAGGTTACAATGACTAACAAGATTCTTCTGTATCGAAGTACCTTGACACCTTCAAGCTGCCACTCTACCCATACCACGCATCTACGCACCACCACACCTCAAGCATCCATTTCGCGCAGTGTGAGCTAGAACCCAACCATCCCTGACACTGAGTGAGATCAGTATTGAAACGTCTATAGCCTCTCTTTTCTTATCCCACCCCGGAAGTCTTCCACCAATTCCCTGATGTTGAAGTTAATGACGCATGTAAATGCCTGGGTATCCCCCCTACAGCTATACCCACGCGAACAACGACACACACGCCAACGACCACACTCACGGCATGTACCACTCCACCACCATGTGTCAATGCAGTCCTTCAGTGGGCATACTATCACTTCGGCGAAGGACCTGTCATTCCTAAAAACAGCAATTTGTCCGATTACAATATTGATGTCGCCGCGCTCAAGTATACCACCCCCAACGTCACGGGAACAACCACCTATGTCAATGTAAACCATACTGGGAATGAGACACCAGTCGACATATACGGCAACCTCGAAATATCCGACTACTTCGCCCTCGATCATCGCGGCTATCTATACGCAGAAACAACGGGCACCTATGCGGTTACCCTTCTCAACACGGACGATGTTGCCTACTTCTGGTACAACACCACCGCGTATACCGGCTGGAATGTGACCAACTGGGATATGTACACCGACTTCGAAAGCACGGACAGTCTCCATGTCGACCTAGTCGCTGGTCAATACCTTCCAATCCGCCTGGTTTTCGCAAACGCACAGGGGGGCGCGAGTTTGCCCTTTTCAATTACAGCACCCGACGGGTCGATTGTGTTGGATAAGAATTCCACAGCTTCGTCTTCTATTGTGCAATATTCTTGCGATCGAGTTATAGCCCCCGAGTTTCCATCTTTTGACCACGAAGCTTGAATTCTGTGCTTGACATTTTCCACGTCTGGAGTTATGGTGGCCAGTTTCACCTTTGCCCCCGCACGGACCGTCATTTTCGTTTCTGCATCTCTTCGGTATCTGCATTTCAACACTTTATCAACATCTTCGTGATGAGGCCAGCTTTAGGGCACATTGATTCTGCCGACAACGCTCTGATATTGTCCGCTTGTTTGTCTCTCTTGTTGTTCCAACTCAAAGTGGTACACACACCAGATGAAAACGATCCTTCCGTTGCCTGTTACAGCTGCTGTGATATGATATGAATATATCTCATCTAATCTTAGTCTTTAAGGTTGCGTCTAGTTCCGGTGGGGCTATTAGGCAGAACCCCTGTTCTCCAAGCTGAGGTACGGTACGGTGTTTTCCGCATGGTAATATCTACCAGTCAAAAGGATAGGTACGTTAGATCAACCACGAGTCAGCGGCTTTGCCGATCTCACCTCGGTAGATCTGGTAGCCAGGCGAAATTGCTGCAACCATATCATTCTGGCCGCCTTGTATCTAGAGCATTTGCTTTAGATGTAATCCAATATTGGGATCTAATATTCATACTTATCAACTTCTTTTATAGTATTGTATATCTTCTAAGTCTCATGTGGCCCCAATGCACTTGTATCAGAGTCAAGTTCTTGAAAACGGTGTTATGTATTGCGGATCGGGATTGTAGCATGTAATCTAATAAACAGTGCTAGTATACTTTATATATTAATCTATATAATTCTTTTCTCAGCACGTGTTTGCTCTATTCGTATTTTTGATTTATATATCTTCTTGCTTTTTGCTTTTATACAGTATCTAACATGTGTATTGGAAATGACAGTGCTTGAGTGTGTAGGTACCTGGCGGCCGTTTCATCACACAGCGCATTTCATGTTACCGGGACGAGGGTTAAAATCCGGCTGGGATCCTGGGGTGCCTCTGTCCAGTGGTTGAGGCACTGAATCAGAGTTCTTTTCGATCGAAGGAGCGTCGTGCTGCCCAGAAATTGGATTCTTTTTTCTACCATGGCCAGTATCCCATGAGTACCGGGAACGCTTTCCGAGTTGACTTTGTATTGGTCCGACAAAGTTCGGGTTTGATCCACATCACCTACCCGGGGCGAAGTACGAGGCGGATCGACGGGCTTATCTTTAAATCTAGTTTCGGAGCTGGTGCCACAGGACTCTTGTTCTTGACTTTTGACATTACTGGGGTTTGGCTGGTGTGCTTGCGAGCACGATGTTGGACCTTTCTCTGGTAGACTTATGTTCGAGGGTGGGTCAATTCTCGTGCTAGAAGAAAAGGTTCTTTCTCTACTAATACCTCCATAGTGGCTGCTTGGCCGTTCAGATCCCCCGGTATGGAGAATCTGGGGTCGACTGATCTTTTTTGTTCTCGAACGTCGGAGATTTGTACTGTGGGCTGTACTATAAGCAGGGTTCCGTGCCATAGGCTCGTCTTCATCTGCCGCAGTCGGTGTGAGGCCTTCATTTGCTTTGGACCCATGAGGATTGATCGGGCTCCGCGGATTTTTTTAATACGTGGAGTTCTTCCTTTTCCATGACTGGTTGTTTTGCAAATCGCACGGTCTGCGCTCTCGGCGTTGTGCCCGGTGGATGCCTAGGTTGAGAATCGAATGGCCTCCGACTCCCGGTGGGCTCTGGCTTTATGCCACCGTACCTTCTTGTAGCGTCTGTCCTGCGCTCTTATAGCCGAGTATGAGCGGAAAATTGTGTGGCCGAGCCCCTGTTCCGCTCCGTGGTTTGTCGAGATTCCGCCCGTGAAGGGGCCGGTCGCGGCTTGGGCCGATCGTTTCTGCTATAGCCACGCAACCTCGCCGTGTCGTAGCGCAAACGTTCCGTCGAGTCACTTAGTACCTCATGAGCTGTTTGTATGGCCCGAAAATTAGCAGTAAACTCATTTTCTTCTACGGGATTTCTCTCGGGGTGGTACTGGAGAGCTAACGTTTGAGCGTGAGCAGTCGTTCTTTGCACATTCACTAGCTCTACCGAACCTACCAAGCCTTCTGAAACTTTTCTTTCTATCCTCGGTGGTTGCATCGGATCCGATTTCCAGTTCTGCATAACAGCCTCTTTTTACGTCCGCCTTTACCATCTTGACGTCGTTTCTGTGGTCGAACGGGATTTGCTATGGGTTTCGCTGCGCATAGTCGAGCAGTGGAATTTTCCGAGTTTTCCACAGGTGTCAGAATTTGATTCAACGCATTGTAGAGAATATAAAAGATGTAGCTGTGACAAAATACATTCAGCAGATAGTAGCGTCAGATAGAGCTCCTCAGCGCTCCCTTGTAGGGAGACAAGATCTGTGTATTGTAGAGTCAAGTACAGGACCGGCTTCACCAATCTGCACACTTCCACGGAATCTGTGCCCCACTGCTGAGCTATTAGTTAAAAAATTGGTGCTGTGTAGATGGGCACGTACTTACTCATTTTTGTGCCGGGGTAGAGCGCTCCAGATCTTGCCATTGGTTTTACATCCGAAGACGGGAAACCATGGCCCGATTGACTATGTAGGAATTGAGAGCCGCTATTTATCATTGATTGAGACTTTCCATTCGCACAGTATATAGCCCAGAAGCCCTGTCTATCTTGTAAGTCATAAAGTTTTGG